TTTTTTTTTTCAATTTACAAAACTAACCTTCTCTAACACTATAAGTACCCCCCTCCCTCTTCTTCATTTCAATACTCAATACTCATTTCTCAATCTAAATTTCTCTCAATCTTCAAGTCTCAATCTCAATTTTCAAGTTAAATCATGTCTCGTTCGGAAAGAGTGCGCTTATTTGTTTCGCAATACTATGAAGTGCTTGAAGAAAATGAAGAAGGCCAAATATTAAAGTGCAAGAACTGTGGAATAGTCTTAAATTTTCGTTCAGGGTGTACCACAGGCATTTTAAGGAGGCATATAAAGTATTGTGTTGAGGGTATTTATCCGCAAATTCGTCTTTAAGATTTTTCAACAATTTGTGTTATTTTAAAATTATTAGACGTATTTATGCTTCATGTTGTACTTTGTTATTAATTTATTATGCATGCCAATTTAGTTTTACTATTGATTTGTTATTTTACATTTTCGTCAAACACTTTAATAATTAGATTTCTATATTATATATACTACATATATTTATATAGCCATGCATAAGAGCAATTTATATATATACATACACATATGGTTTACAAGAAATTGCCTTAAATAAAAAAAATTTTAAAAAAAAAGCCCGAAAATAAAAAAAAGCCCGTTAGGCCCGCTAAGCCCACGAGCCCGGCCCATTTAGCCCAGGACCATATGGGCTTAGGCCCGTCACGGGCTGGTCCTACCCGTTGAGCCCGCGAAGCCCGGGACCGCTAAGCCCAGGCCCGTTTAGCCCATTTAGGCACGGGCCCGGCCCACCATACAGCCTTAATATATATATATATATATATATATATATATATATATATATATATATATATATATTCATGTTGTGAAGTGACCCTTGAGAAACCTTTGTTATAAATTGTGGCCTGTCAAGGTTTTCTGATTAATCTCATTTTTCTTTCTATCCTTAAAAAAATTACCTGCAGTTTGAAGTTTGTAGGGAACTGTATTTAAGATGAGCAATTTATATAATTTTTTTAAGAAACTATGCATTATATGTAACACCATGTCTGGTTATTTACAGAACAATTTTTGTATCTATGTATTTACGAATCTGTTGATCAGTTTTTCTAAAGAAGAAAAAAAAAAGAAGCCTAAAAGCTATACAAGAATGGATAAGCATATTTGAGAATGTAGATAACTCCAGCTTCCCTACAACAGACAAATTAAGAATTCTTTTACATTCAAAGCACAGTAAAACCTCAATCTCCATCTATTTTCTTAATATCACCAGAGCGGAGAGGCCCCAGAGTTTTGGCCTAGTAGTAAGAGCGCAGCATATGATATGATATGCGGTTTAGACGCATATCACCGAGTGGAGTGGATCCTTTATCCACCGAGTTTAGACATACTAGCTGACCCTCACGGATTTCTGGGTTATCAAAAACACTATACTAGACACAAAAATGTACTGCCCTATAATGTCTGTCTACATTAGCAATGGATTTTTTTCTATCACACCCTCTGATCACCCCTCCATACACCCTTAACCATCCAGTTATAATAGCCTAGCTGAAAATGTAAAAATTGGGCATGAATTTTCATGTCTTGTAAGAGAATTGAGTCTTGAACTCCTTTTCAAGTTGTTCCCTAGTTTCTGTCTTTGCAGCCAACACAACATCATCAAGGAAACCTCTCTGAGGAAATTCTTCGGGTACAAGACTTCGATATATCTCAAACTGCTCGTTAGCTTCTTTCTTCTTGTCCAACAAACTGTAGACTATTCCCTGCCACCAAGTCTCAAAAATGGTCAGATTCGACAATAAGTATAGCTGAGTCGCCTGGACTATAAACTCTAATATTTCCAAATTTTTTTCAGAAAATATGCATCACCACAGTAATCAGAATTAATTACAATCAATAGCAAATCTTGCTGCATATGCATGACACATGCTGCTTATTCCTTAACCATGCATCTATCTTTCCTCTCCGTGCACTAAACTTGCTTTGCCATATATTGCGGTCCATTTAATTAGTACTATTTTTTTGTTGCCTGAGACCATGCAGTGGCAATCTAATCCAGAGTACATCAAGCATTACATAAATAAAGTACATACTAAACAGCACCATATTCTTATTTTTCTCAATTTTTACCGATCTCATAACATATGACCCTCGTTATCAGTCTCTAACCTTGATGAAATTACAAGATCAATTATGAAAAGCTCTAAAGCATTACAGTGGTCCCACTTGAGTCAAGAAGGATGGCAAGTAACTATTTAGCAAAAAGTTTACGCTGATTAAGAGAGCTACAATTTGCTTATTCTTTATATATCCTTTTAGAAAGCTCACAATTCAAGAAGAATGCAGAGGAAAAATAGAACATAAATTACCTGGCACAGATAAGGCCTGAAGTCTCTTGGGTTCTCTTTAACAAGACGTTGAAACTTCTGTAAGGCCTCTTCTAATTGACCCTGCACGACACGAGCAAATGTAAGAGAGGAGTACTAGGCTGAACAATTTTCTATCCCCCTTTTTTTTGCCTATATAGGAGAGAACTAGCAATTGGTTCCTCTGACTATCAAAATATTGTGCATGAGACAAGTTGCAGGAAAACTCTCCCTTTCCAGTTTTCAACTAATGTTACCAAATAAGAGTAATTGGTGATATCACGATCTTCACTAGCAAAGGTAACCTCTTAACTTAGCAAAGATAACATAATTGTACAACCTATTACCTGCAAAGCAAGTTAATATAATTTTACAACCTATTACCTGCAAAGCAAGACCATCATGCAAGTGGCCACAGTTTCACTATTTACCCAACTCCGCCCTCTCTCTCTCTCTCTCTCTCTTCTAATCTAGTTATTAGTGTTAAACTCTAGGGATATCCAATGTTATTACTCCATTTGTCCCACTTCATCTGACACACTTTCGTTTTTAGTTTGTTCCAAAAAGAATGACACCTTGTTATATTTGGAAGCAATTTAACTTAAACTTCCCAATTTATCTTCAATGACATGGTTTTGTAGTCATAGAAATATTTATGGCATGTTTTAGACCACAAGTTTCAAAATCCTTTCTTTCTTTCTTAAGCTCCACGCATAGGCAAACATTGTCATATAAATTAGGACGGACGTAGTATTATAAATCAAACAAAGGGGGCATCTCTGTTATACTTTTATCAACTTAGGCACAAGATGTTCCTGTAGATAAACTACAAAAGATATAGAGCTGAGTATTCTTGTGATGTCACAGATAAAAGTCACTCTAAAGAAACCGAATTTGGCAGGTGTACTACAAGCCATTACCTTAACGACATGCATTTGTGCGACTAATATTTTTATGTTTCTCTCCTCATTGACTCTTTTTTCCCGACGAGCAACTTCTAGAGCGTCATTCAGCATCTCAAAAACAGCAGGACCTTCAAAGTTCTTGTGCATCACCATAGCTAAACCCTGGAACAATTCAATGCATAAATAAGGTCAATAAGCAAAACTTATAATCATTGACAAGGTTAAAAGAGTATGAATGCCGAGAGTTACACATAATGCGTACAACTTCTAAGAGAGGTCATGTGCCATCATGAATGGCAGGATGCTAAGTAATTCAAACTTTGAGAACATCACATTAATTATGATTGAAAAATGTTGACTGTGGTAGTAGTGTCCAAAAGCTCAAATACTTAAAATCAGACATCATGCGCATTCCATATATCTATTTAAGATAAATCTCATGACTTGATTGTCTAGCAATCTATGTCGCGGGGACTCTCCAAAATGTTGTTGCACCCGTGTCGGAACCTTCAAAATACATTATTTTTTAAGGATCCGATACGCACCAGGCAACATTTTTGGAGAGTTCGAGCAATATAGCTAGCAATATATTCCACCCTCCGTGACGGTGGAACCTTCTAATTCTCTACAAAATACTGTTACACGGCGTCTTCATGAGATTTCTTGGAAGGGTGACGTAATTTAAGCAACCGATATCCGTGCGGTTACGATCCGCCAACGGGGTCCCCTCCGTACGCTAGACTAAACTGTCAGTGCCGTATGGGAAAATCAATGTCAAAAACAATTGAAAGAACAGAAAAGAGAATGAGAATGAAAGAAAGCTTGATTGCATTAATGAAAGCTATTACAGAAAGGCAACACGGTGTCGGGGGGGGGGGGGGAGACACCATTACAGAGAATTGTTCCGGGCAACATAACTAGCAATACATTCCACCCTCCGTGACACGGGAACCTTCTAGTTCTCAACAAAATACTTTTAGTGGTGTCCGGACCAGCTTGCGCACACCTCGACTAATTCCACTAGATAACAGCTATATCCCACCAGCAACAAATACCAGGTAACTCTATCCACCAAGGCTTGGACAGATGAGAAGAAAACACCTAGTATTTTTGTCTGGGATTTGAGCTTGAGACCTCCTGATTCTCAACCCACTTCATAGACCACTAAGCCACACCCAAGGGTGTAGTTCTCAACAAAATACTACTTGCATCAAATTGCTTAGTGCCCTCACTTAACACAGATACATGCTTGATTCTGATTACATCCAATGTTCACCCCATATATGTTTATGTCTACACTCGATGCTTATTCTCCTCCTCCACGCTGCAAATTTGTAGCTATACTTTAAAGAATTGTTTCTTCATTCTGATGGGAGTGCTATTTTGAAAATAACGTATGAATGAAGTTCAAAATATTCGTGTCTCAGGTTGGCATTCGCTGCAAGTATAACTGGATATCCTACTTGAACACATAGTAAACTTTAAGTATCCAAGCTTAGACAACACCACAGATTGAATGACAAATGTAGAGCTCCTCTCCCCCAGATTTGTATTTTTACACCATTGGGTCAAAGCTTTCCTTATATGAAGCATCATAACATTCCTCATGCAAGTTTACAATTCAGAAATAAATATCATGAATTTCTAGAGTAACAAATTTTTTGCTATATCAGGTAATGCCACTAGTGTTCAGAACGTGGTTAACACCACCAGAAAGCGAACAGGCTTCTGAAGCAATCATTCTTGCTCATTCACATCTTTATCATTCTTCAGTTTAGCAATAACAAAGTCCGGGGAAAAAATCACATCAGTGGATCCAAATATTGCTGTTTCTACAGAAATAACCAGTCTAGGAAGGCGACCTGAAAAACTCAAGAGGAAAAGAGGATTTTTCTGCTACTGCATGATTTATCTATTCGAAAGCAGTTTCTTATACAATCTTCCTGAATTATCAGGCTTCAAATGCAGTTGCATATGACTTTCCCAAATATTAGATTAGTGAAAAATCTGCACTATTATTGAGTCAAGTAAGACTGTTTATGCCATGGCATCCAAGCCAACTACAGGATCCTTCTGTTTAGTCGTCACAGAATATCAATTAACAATGAGGCTCAATTACCGTCTGGATAACTGATAAAGAAAATGCATGCTGTATCCAACATCTATCGTGAGAGAGTAAAATTTCCACATAATTTAGATTCTAGAGTCCATGTTCGACCTTCAAACCATTACAAAATATCCAATTACTAACTTATCGACATTCTCCCTCGTAATGCAGAATTCAACAGTTTATCAAAACTTTATGAAATGATTGACCCAAAGATAAGTTCTATAAAGCGGTGGTTAGACCGGCCATGATGTATGGGGTTGACTGTTGGCCTGTTAAGAAGTCACATATCGAGAAGATGAAGGTAGCAGAAATGAGGATGTTGAGGTGGATGTGCGGGCATATAAGAAGATTAGGAATGATGATATTCGGAAGAAGGTGTGCGTGGCCCCTATTGATGACAAGATGCGGGAAGCGCGGCTCAGATGGTTCGGGCATGTTAAGAGGAGAAGCCCAGATGCGCCGGTAAGAAGGTGCGAACGGCTGGTTGTGGAGGGCACGAGAAGAGGTAGAGGGCGGCCTAAGAAGTATTGGGGGAGGTGATCGGGCAGGATATGGCGAGCCTTCAGATTTCCGAGGATATGGCACTTGATAGGAACATGTGGAGGTCGAGTATTAGGGTTGTAGGTTAGGAGGTAGTTGGGTCTTGCCTTATGTCATAACTTTGTGGGATTAGTTTGGTAGGGATACTATTTCGCTTTCGCTGTGTATCTTTCTTCTGGATTTCATGTTGTTCCTGTTTTTCCTATTTTCCTATTTTTCTTATTATTTCTGTGGTGTTACTGATTTTGTCTCCTTTTGTCTTTTTGTCCTCTTGACCGGAGGGTCTTTCGGAAACAGCCTCTCTACTCCTTCGGGGTAGGGGTAAGGTCTGCGTACACACTACCCTCCCCAAACCCCACTAGTGGGATTTCACTGGGTCGTTGTTGTTGTTGTTGTTGTTGTTGTTGTATGAAATGATTGACCCGACGGAGCTACATCCATCAAACCACCACACATAGCCAACAAACAATAAGGGGGAAAAACATATAGTGATCGTTAGGTCTACCATTTATATGTAATGCTAAATAACATGGCTCATTGCACAAAATTCATCAGCAGACAAGATATCATATATCAACTCTAGATTTTGACACTCAACAATGTTCTACAAGCAACCAATAACATCGTCTTGAATTACTCGAAATATAAAACAGATATTTCCTAATCCTCTTCAATTCAAACATGGTATCTAAGAGTTTTTTGACTACATCAAAATCGCAGTAAAACACGTAAGATTTAGGGAACATACATGCAAAGCTCTGAGCAAGAGAGGCCTCTGCTTCAAGATCTCCTTAAACAAACTTTTAGCCTTACTCAACTGCCCCATCATCTCATAGCAAAGAGCCTGCAAAAGCCTCCACTCCATTTCTCTAGGCTGGACTTCAATCAGTTTCTCCACATACTTCAAAGCCTCTTTAGTCTTCCCTTTCCTCATTTTCACATTAACAATAGTCTTCAAAGCCTCAATATCTCTCTCATTCTTCTCCAATAACTTCACATGCATCTCCTCTTCTTCATCATTATTCTCTTCTTGGGTCTCAAAAACACTACTTTCTTGAACTGGTCGTGACACTGACACTGCATTCTTGGCCCTTAAACCCATAAACAAGAATGACCCAACAAGTAAAATGACAATCTTTTCACAGAAAAACTTGGGAATTTCTTTCTGAGGTTTCCAAGAACAGGTTAAAATTGGTGAATTTCGGGGTTTGGAAGTTGCTTCGAGTTTGGGGCAAAGAGTGCTCTGGGTTTTGGGATTGTAAAGCAAAAGGGTTTTGAGGGGATTGTACGAAATGGAGTGGTGAACTAGTTTTATTGTTGAATGTAGGCAGAGTGGGATTTTGGTGGCAGATGAAGTTACCATTTTTAGCAAGTAAGAAAGATTGTAGTGGCGCGCACTGTAGAAGAAGAAGAAGATGAAGCAGATGCTTAGAAGAACAACCTCAAGAAAAGGGGAGGAGGATTATGTAAAAGTTCTTTTCATTCCTTCCTCAGTCGTCTAGCTCATACTTGAATTATTATCAAAAACCTCCAAAGGGTTTAAGAGGATAGAATAATTAGATGTTTGATACTTTTCTCCAATTATTATCAGTCTAACAGGCCATTGGCAAGTCTTGGGTATTTCCCAGTTAAATAGTCTAAGGCCCGTTTGTCATAAAAATTAAAAAAAAATCACTTCTCCGGAAAAAATTTACTTTTTTAGAAATCACTGTTTAGCTATAAAAATTTCGAATTTCACTTGAATTTGAATTTCGATCTTTTTTGAAAACTCCAAAATATGTTTTTTTTTTTAATTTTCACTTCAAATCACTCACAAAACTTCAAAAAACAGTTCCAAATTGTATTCACTCCAAAGTCCAAGCATAACTCTAATTTTCAAATACCATCTTCACTATAAAAAAAATGGGAATCTTACATAAATATCCTAATGAAATTCCAACTTATCAACCTCTAGCAATTAATTATAGACTTACCAAACTAGTCAAAACACATATAAAAATTAAAAACCCAAATAAATAAGGTTCATTCTCTCCGAGAATCACACGCAAAGATTTCCTTCTGTATTTGTAAGCGTGAACAACAATATTAGATAAAAAATGGAAAGAACATTTCATGGATAAGGTAGCAAACAAGGTGGTGATATGGCTGAAAATCATTGAAAACATATAGATGAGTCAATATAAATTTTGAGGAAGATTTGGGGTGATTTGGACTGATTTGATATCAAAATTCGTAGTTAAAATCGAGATCAAAAAAATCTTCTGTGAAACATGTATCAAACATGTATCACGCATGTATCACACAAACAGGTATACTTGAATATACATGTGATACATATTTGACACAAATATGATACATAAGTGGCACACAATGTGATACACATTTTTTTTTTATGGTTCATCTTCTAGTTCGAAATTTCAATTCAAACCAACCCAAAAGTCCGACAAATCATCCCAAAATTGAGATTCAAACTCCTTAAGATGCCAAATCTATTATAATAACATCCACTAAAAAATAAAGATTTGATCTTTTTTGGGCTATAAATAGCTAATTGACTAATATTGATAATATTTGCCTAATATTAGCAGTAATATTAAATGAATTGGCTAATTTTATAATAAGCTACTTATAAATGAACATAGCGTGTAGTTTTCCTTGAAAAAATCACTTTTTTCCTGAATTTCACAATTCTTATGTCCAAACGCCGACTAAGACTTTAGACGGAGAAGAGTTCCACTTTTGTCATTTTGTGTATAATTTTCCATTAAAATGTAATGATATTTGAATCATATTAAATTGGACTACACATTCATGTGTAACGAGAAATCTTAATTTGTCTAATTTCAAATTATATTCATCCACTAAGTATTGGCAAAATATGTGACCTCACGTCCAGAGGCAGATTCATGATTTAAACTCTATTATGAGTTTAACTTTTAAGATTTTTAGTATCGAACTCATTACATATATATTTTTAAAATATGCTTGTATCTATTACTTATTGATGTTAGATTTTTACACATAATATTTATGTTCCACATTGAAAGTTTTGGGTTCAGTCGAATCGCTTAGTTGATAATTTCAACGCTTTGTAGTATTTGCTAGTAATTAGTTAGAAATATAAATCTCAATCTTTATAATTTAAAAAATTGTTCAATCTTGTCTTCTTAGTGATATTAAACAGATACAGCTAAGCCTTAGTTCTCTGTGGGATTCGACTCCGGACTTTTAGACCGGATTATATTTGCAGCGATCGTTTATCCTTTTTAGGACTAGAGTTGGGCGTGATCAAATTTTGGGTCGTTGCCGGGGAACTAACGGTGTAGTTGTAGCTGCATATATTGCTAGGGTTCAAGTTTGAACTTTTATTTTGTTTTGTTTTGTTTTTTTTTTGTTTTTTTATAACTGTTGATTTGAGAAATATGACATCTTGGAATTATGGGGATTTAGGTGTAGATAATTCTACTATTGATGCTCATACATATTGTGAAGGAAACCACCCGTATCAAAATTATCAAAATATTCCCGAAAGCAATTTATGTGCGCCAACTCAATCTTATTTGTGGAATGTGTGTGGTGGAAAAAAATGGTCACTTTAATGGTTGTGTTTATATTTCTTATATCCCCCAACCCCTTACTATGATGGTTCTACCTTTTCTTGTGAAGTTAATAGGAACAAAGAACCTGGGGATGCAGACCTGAAGGAGATCAAAGATATGTTAAAGTGCCTTCTGAAACAAAATAATGAAAAACAATTGCGGATAGAAAGGCAAGAGGCAACTATTCGCAAGTTGGAGGCTCAATTGAGTCAAGTGGTTGGAGCTTTTAATGCTCAACAAGCCAATATTGATGATAGTAGCCAAGAAGAGCATGAATTTGAGGTGTTAATTGGGGAGGTCAGAGTAGAACATCAACAGCCTAGCCAACTACAATTTGAGGATGTCAATGTTGAAGAACTGAGACTAGAGTCAGCCAAGGACATTGAGGATACAAATTTTGTTGACTCTAGTATCATTGATGTTGAGGATGCTGAAAGTCCTGAAGTTCATGTGTGTGAGCGCATTGGTCCTCACTCCAAATATTTTTCTACATTGTGCTTGGATGACGATATGGAAATAGAGTCATCCGAGCCGATTGAGAAGTCAAGGAATGAGGAACAAGGTGCCTACATTCTGGAATTTTTCTTGCCAGAAAGACAGGACTACATACCTCATCTAAAAGCCAAAAAGTGTATAATAGTACAATGGTTGCTTGGGCCAATTAGATTTGTTCCTCCCTGGAGCATAGCCGGAAACTTGATGCCAAATTGGGGGTTCAATTCATAAGCTCGAGGTGGAGGCAAAAAGTGATTCGCGTCGTGCCGCGACGTTAAATCAAGCACTTGTTGGGAGGCAACCCAGCTTTATTGCTTTCTTTTATTTATTTATTTTTTTTAATGGTATTATTTTTGTAGTGTCAATTTTTTATTTTCTAGGAGCATGGAAAGCAAAGGTATTGGAAGGATGCAACAGCAAACCAAATGGTTGGAACTAAGTGTGAGGTACCCGCACGAAGGACCAAGCTTGGGAGAAGTCTGAGTACCCCATGAGCTGTTAGTGCTTCGGCCTTTGGCTTACCAGGGAGTCTCTTTCACCCTTTTATTAGTTATGGTGTGCATTGGGGATAATGCACAATTTTAAGTGTGGGGTGAGGAGATTAACTGGGTGACTTTCTATGTTATTTTAGCTGTGTTAGTTTAATTGAATACTTTTTTTTAAATAGAAAAGATTGGACTTTTCCCGACGATGGATCTATTAGGCAATTTTCTTGAGGGAATTAAGTCTAAAGAAAAAATAAAATAAAAAGATTTTAGGTAGTGTAATAATTCCCCCTTGGTTTTTCTTTGTCCCGCGGTTCTTTTCCAAGGGTTTTGTTTGAACCGGGTGTAGTTAGTTTTTTTTTGGGAGTAGGATCCATTGTGTTGTGTTTTGAATTGAAACAATATCTCTTGACTTTGTTATGCCTTGAGAATAGTGAGTACTTTGGTTGTGACGCTTAGGCTCAGTTTTTGACTCTTGTATAAGTACCTTAAATTTTATGATCTTAAATTTGCTTAACTGCTTTGACTAGAGTGTCTTGATGAAACCATTCCTGAGTGAGTTATGTGCCATGTGTGTGAAATTTGTTATATTCTGTGCATTGCATTTGATGCCTAGAACTTGCCATGTGTGTTTGCAAAGCGATATAGTAGTTTTGTTCAGTCTTGGAAGTGATATAGGCGTTTCTTTGTTGAGCCAGATATGTATATTTTACCCACCTAATTGTTATGTATCGTAGTTAACCCCTTTGAGCCTGTAATCTTGTTTCTTTGGTAACCACATTACAAGCCTTACCCATTTGTTTGATTAATTATCTATTTGAACCTTTTAACCTCTCATGAGCACTTGAATTATTATGAACTGTGTAAAAGTTAAAGTGTGGGGTGGTTGGTTTGGCTTTTTTTGAGTGGAACTAATGAAATAAGGAGAAAGGTGCACTATTTTAAAAAAGCAAGAGCCACATGAATTAAAAAAGGAAAAAAAAAGGTGTATTGTTGTGGGAAAAAAAATTCCTTGATAAGTGGTGACTCTTGATGTAATTGTACTTGTGCTTAAAGAAGTATGGGGTAAAATATATTATTGTGAAGGCGGAGTTTGGTTTGACATAAGTATGAGATTTGAATGTTAAAGTATATGTATTAAAGTGCTTAGGGAGGTGTAGTCACTCTTATATCTAAATGTATCCTACCCGTCCCGCAGCCTACATTACAACCAAATAAAGTTCTACTTGATCCTAGACTGAATGAGCTCGATTAGTAGAGTAATATACTACGGGCAAGCTTATGGTGCATCTTTTGTGGCATATGAATGTTATTTTTGAGAGTGAGTGAATTCTTTCTATCTTGAGTTCCTAAGTGTTCTTAAATTTTATTGTGTGGAACTACTCTCTTTTGTTGTGTGAGGGCACTTGATTTATGAAGGAAAGGTAATGTCAGTGATCTCTATGTTAGAGTAAATGGGTGAGTTGTGAATAATGATCTTGAGGTGAAGATGTTATGCTTTTGTGCTTAGTCTATTTTAAATACTCTTGGTGTGGTAAGTTAGGAGAATTGTTTAAAAAGGTCGTGTCTATAACAAAGTGTAGTTTGATTGCTCGAGGACGAGCAATGGGTTAAGTGTGGGATGTTGATGATAGGCTATAATTACGTATTTTAGTCGCTTATTACACTCAAATTTACTGCACTTTAGTTGAGTTTGCGTTTTAATCGTTAGTGTTTTGCACTAATTGTGTGTTTTATGCCTTGTAGGAGTGATTCCGAGCTATGTAGATGTTATGGAATGAATTCAAGTGATTTGGAGCTTTGAAGTCTGAGTAAAAGCCCAAGGAATTAAGCCGGGATCGTATTCGGGGATCAACAGATGATAGAGCAACAAAACGAAGAATCGAGTAGGCATATTGCGTACTGTCTAGTAAAATCCATATAACTTTTTTCTCAGAACTCCATTTGAGCTCCATAATATATGGTTGGAAAGCTAACTCAAAGGGCTATAACTTTCATGTTTCACATTTTTC